AAATTGTACATAAAAGGAATATTTAGTGAAGGCTTAATTACTCGAGCTTTCATTTTGACAAAAATGAGAATTTTAAATGACGTTGATAATGTTTGATCCGTAACTTGTTTTGCCAAGAGACATTTGTACTAAAAGATGCTATTGTGCCTCTTGAGATTTAAAACATTATTTCAAAACTGAAGACAATCTTTTCATATGTGATCTGATTTCCAAAATCATAGTTAAAAGAATTTGTGTGGAAGGGAGAGAACTCTTTATTATTTTGTGTTCAAAGGGAAGTAACTGAGGCTTTTGTTTGTTTTTGGGTTTTACGTCACATCGACACAGTATAGGTCATATCGCGACGTTCCAGCTTTACTGGTGGAGGAAGACCTCAGGTGCCCTTCCGTGCATTATTTCAGGCACGAACGGGTACCTGAGTAGAACCACCGACGTTCCGTAAGCTAGCTGGATAGCTTCCTCACATGAAGGAATCCAAAGTCCCAGTCAGGATTCGAACCCACAGAGGTGAGGGGCAAGTGGTTTGAAGTCAACGAAGTGAGGCTTTGACACTCGTTTGATATTTATAACAGTAAACTAACAGTTCCAAATATAGACCATAATGATACACACATAAGAAGTTTTATTTTACTATATCTCCCTGAAAAACCTATAATATATATAAAAAAATCAACGAGACTAGATCCTGGTTTAGTAGTGACGTCTAACGGGACATTTACAGTAATAGGAGATTTTTATTATCACAAAAAACTGAATGGAATGGATCTTTGATATTTCTAATCAGACAAAAGTTGTCACGTTTATTACTACAATGCTGTTACAAAGTAATTTCCTTGTACGTAATTTTACTACTTTTTGCAGCTGCAGAACTTGGATTTATGGCTAAAGTCTTTACTGGAGCTGGCCATTCGGAGAATTGCACAATAAACAAAAAAGCTTTCGAGAATTTGTTTATTCCTTTGATACAAGTTTATTATGCAGATTTTTCAGTGGAAGCTCAACTAGCTTTTACATTTGAAACAGTGTTATGTAATAATACAATCCTTATTTTGAGTTTTTGTAATTAATGATTCATATAATCATATTAAAACCGCCTCCGTGGTCAAGGGGTTAGAGTCGATGGCTTCTTATCCAATTACCTCTCTTGCGTGGGTTCGATCCCCGGGAGTTGCTTTGGTACTTTAGCGTGGAGGAAGGTAGTCTAGTACTGGTGTAACTCTCCAGGAACGATGTTTAGGAAACTACCCGCCTATATGACTGAAATACTGTTGGGAAAAGGTGTAAAATGAAACAAACAAACAAACAAACAATACTGAATTAAGAAAGTATATCTAGATGGTGAAAAAGGTGACAATATGATTTCAATACAAAAATGTCAAGATATGCACATTTTTAAGCGATACTTCAATTACTTTGAAATATTTCATGAAATTTTGAAATATTAGGACAACTGCAAATTTTCTGTCATCGATTATAGACATGCTGCTTTAATTAACGTTTTATAACCTTTGTTTAATGCACAAAATTCATGAACTTTGACGCATTTAATGACCAGTTTTATGCAAAATTAATGACATTAAAGTTAGACTGAATCTCTACATTGTTACAGGTTCGAATCCTGGTCACGGCACCAATATCAGATAGGATAATTACGCCATAGAAAATTATGTACAACACGTTGTGTCTGCTTTATAAGTCTATTCAAAACCACAAACATAATCATATTACAAAACATAGGAAGTGACGTTCTCTTACGTCACGCATATGGTGGCGTTATTTAACGGCACATGCATATGAGGGCAATTCCCCACAAATATTTTCATGTTACTTCTGTGTCTGATATTTCATAAAAGAATCAGTCTTCCTTCTATGAAAGCCATTACACATATTAAATTAACATTAATGCTACTCAGTAAGTTGAATATCAAACATTGTCATCATAGAGAGAGTTATGACCATTTTATTAACACTTTGATCTACACTCTACACAATCTACACTCTACACAATCTACACTGGGATCTACACTCTACACAATCTACACTGGGATCTACATGAACATGATGAAAGTGTGAAAACTGAGTTCTCCCCTAATTTAACTCATGAATTATATATACATGTGTTAAGAGGCAGCCATTATCAATATCATACATTAGTAACATACTCGCCTAATTTATAATTTACTACAAGTGTTCACATTTCAAATAGCATGTACCAGTTCAGAATCTGTTTTCAACATTTACTATTTCAATGCTCAATACAAACATTTTATTTTTAAGTTTACATAAAAAGAATAACAATTGTAAACATAGCAACATACAACATGCATATGATTTTAAAGGTATTGAGCCTCATAGAGAGAATTTCAAAGGAAATAGTATATTCATATTGCCAAGATTTAAGGTGTAGTGAATAGTATTATAAACAATGCCAAGATCTAAGGTTAAATCTATCATATTGCCAAGATTTAGTGTGTTATCCATAGTATTGCCAAGATTTAAGGTGAAGTCAATAGCATTACCACAGTTCAGGGTATAATCCATCATATTGCCAAGGTTTAAAGTCAATTGTAGTCAATAGTATTGTAAAAAGTGAGTGTAATCAATTGTATTGCCAAGATACCAACATACAATTAAGCAAGACGAACACAGCAGAAAGCATAATGTGCATGTAAGAAAGCAAGATAAACATTTAGTCAGAATGCAAGATGTACAAGTTAGAATGCAAGATGTACAAGTTAGAAAGCACGATGTAACGTAAGAAAGCAAGATGTAATTTTTGCGTTAATACCCTTCCATAGTCAAATGCTTTGGGAACATTTAATGTGTTATCAGTTTTAAAACCAAGATTAAAGTATTACGTCAAATAAATGGTGAAAAATTCTGCATAATTATATACCGTAATATGACTGCTACTAAATTGGGGTGAGGACAAGCACACCGTCAATAGTTTTACTATATCTATCCATCTTTCTGCCCTAATATTATCATTTATTGACCAGATGTCAAGGTCACTGATGCTAAAAAATAGATTATTGAACTTCATACATGTCGTTAAGCAAATATATAGCTATCTTCTAAGACATCAAGGTCACTGATGCTAAAAATAGATTATTGACCTTCATACGTCTTGTAGTTAAGTAATGATTATTTATCTTCTAAGATGTCAAGGTAACTGATGCTAAAAATAGACTGTTGAACTTCATACATGTAGTTAAGCAATGATTTAGCTGTATTGATATGGAGTTTAGTCATTCTTCGACTGACAGTTAAATTTCTGTAAGTTTTAAATTTGGAACAGTCCATTCAAAATTGAAGGGATGTCAAAATAAAAATGTAGGCGTGTACATGGTTCAATGGTTAAGGTAGTTGTCTTCAAACCGCTTGCCTGTCACTTCAAATCCTGACAGGGACTTTGGATTCTTTCTTGTGAAGGAGCAATCCAGCCAGCTTAAAATCAGTGGTTCTACTCAGGTGCCCATTTGTGCCTGAATTAATCCTGGGAGAGGCACCTGAGGTCTTCCTCCACAATTAAAGCTAGAAAATCGCCATGTGACCTTAAATATGTTGGTACAATGTGAAACCCATATGTTGGTACAATGTGAAACCCAACAAAAAAAAACAAATTGAGTTAACATCAGACTGCAGGGAAGAGCTGGCTGGCTCAATGGTTTTTACTAGTGGTCATGCAATCTCCTAGCCAGTGATCTCCCCTTATCAGTACAGTGATCTCTGCCGCCACACACATTTTTAATAATATCTTGTTATTTTATATTTTTTTAGCTTTTGAATTTATTTTTTCATTATTTTGTATACTTTTGATATTTTTTTGATAAACTATAACGAACGTAGGTACGAAAATTAAAAATAAAACAGAAAAAGAAAAATGACGTTAGATTTTCTATGTATTTACATTTGAATTACAATGTTACGTCATTGACTTTCACCGTAATGTGACGTCTGTGAAAGGCAGTGATAACAATCTGCCAAGGGAGGTAATCACTGTGAGGAGTTTCGTGGCAATGGCTTATCACTACATAGCCTCATGACAGGGAATTCAAAGACAGACAAATCAGCAACCTTTTTACCACTCTAATGCAGAGACAAAATTTTTATCAGAAAATTTCTAATTTGATTATCCCGTGCATTATGTCTAATGTCTCTGTAAATCTGTCTTTTTCTCTCTGTTGACAGATACATGTTATCAGGCAAAGAAGATTTAATTGTGTTTTACAATCGTTTGATTGCTATTTTTCTGTATCAATTCATGATTAAATTATCTACGGTCTGACAATTAGGAAAAATTACTGAGCAAATAAGAATGAAAATACATCATTTTTCTCTTTCGGAATCAATATTTCAACTCACCCCCACCCTCACCCCTACTCTCTCCACCTCTTTCCTAATGGTTGAAATTTAACATGGAAATGTTGAAATGAAAATCCTGAGGTAGTATTGATTTTAAAAGAGGAAAAATCTGTTTTAATTACTCTTGTATTGAAAAACTAGCCGACATAAATACATGTTAGTACAGGTTAGCAGGAACTTTTTCTTTTTTTTCACATTTATTTCTTTGTCATGATTTGAAGAGGATTAGGTTACTATGACGTTTTAACAGTATTTAAACATGAATTATGAATGGCGTAATGATCAAGTTAGGTTTTGCGTTAATGAGTTTTATTGATAGAATTATTTGCTGGAACTGTTTGTTATAAAAGGGAGTGAATAAACATGTATATTAATAAAAGAGCTTTTCCATTGGAAAATTGTATTGGATTACAGCATTGATAAAATGCATGTGGATTAAAAATTAAGATGGGAATATATTATACATATGGCAACAATGAAAATGATGAAGATTTGCTCTTTTTGTTCAGTCATCTTTTTTAACACTCGATGAATTGAAAAAAAAAAATTGTCGCCTTAAAAAGTGTTTTTTTATTGCATATTTGATAAAATTTGCTACCAGTTGAATGTACATGTATATTTTTTTTTCATTTCAGGTCTAGAAAATGTTGTTAATACAGACAAATACTCTGCTGTGGACCTGGAGCCCTGATCTAACGTAAAAAAACGTTAAAAAGGCGTTAAAAAGAGTAACAGAATTTATGCTTTCTTAAAAAAAATTTTACGGAATATTTACGCATTACTCCCTTTAGGTTTAGTGACATACCAAATCTCACATTGTGATAATGATTAATGACCTAACGTAAAGGAAATATGTCATCTTACTGGACTACCGTGGAGTAACTAATTGGTTTTTAATTATTTGAAACAACATCTTTCCTGTGATAATGGCATTCGAAAGAAGGAAAGAAAACATACCTGATGGTATTATAGCAGAAGAAGCTACGGAGATGACAGAAATGCACGAAATTTCCGATCGGCAAAATATGGAGGATGAACAATTAATGTCGGAAATGCCACATTCGCCACTATGGAGTCAGAGCGACAAACAGGCTGCTCAGAAAATGATGCTCGACAAATATAAAGCTAAAGTGCGGCCAACCATGAAAGCCACTATTCAAGGGAAAGTTTATAACTTTCTTGAGAGACCGACTGGATGGAAGTGTTTTATCTACCATTTTACCGTGTTAGTATCTTTATATATTTTATCATTAAATATTTAAATATGATGGACTGACTGCAAGGTTGGAACAATATTCCCAGGCATATGCCTGAGAATATTGTTCCAACCTGGCAGTCGGTCCATCAGTCTGTTAGCAATTTCTCATCTACTCTGTATCTTTAACACTGATGGAAGGAAATTGAAACTACTTTGCAGAAATGCTAAAGTGAAGATCGCAGGTTTGACCTTCCTTAGGTCAAGTTCAAGGTCACACTTGGTCATTATCTTTAAATTTAACAATTTCAAAATTTCGTGATAGAAAGAATTACATCTATTTGGCAGAAATGTTACTTTATAATAATGTGCAGAACCCAGGTTTTATCAGAGTTTGGGAAACATCTGTCTGTTACAATACCAGAATAAACTTTTGCAAGTTTGTTAGTTTGGATGATTGGACTTTCAATTCAATTGGGTATATAAATTTTTTTCTTCTGTAATACATCCATTTTTAAAAAAAGTCGAGCGTTGCCCCAGACTCCAGGTGGTGGCTCTTGATAAGCATACTGTTAATCAAAATGGATGAAATATCTTATTTTTAAAGTGATTTCACTTGTGTTGAGCCTGAGCTGATGAACGATATAAACAAGATTTCTCTATTAAATGAAATATATTCAATATTTATTCTAAAATGAACAATCATCCTCAGGATATTGTCCTTTTGTTCTCCCCCTAAACAACTGTTTAAGTAACTGTCTAGAGCATAATTAGATAATGTAAAGAAAGGTGACATTTTGAAGGACTTCATTATATAGATGGCAAAACATTAAAAGCTTAGGGTCAAGGTAATAAGCATTAGACTGACTGCTGCAGGAAATTCGAAATTAACCAATCAGGTCAAAGCATCATTGACTGGTCTTCCTACTCGAGATTATAACATTGTGTATTTTACTTGTAACCAGTCTGTCACTTTACTTGTAAACCAGTCTGTGGTAGATACTGAAAAATCATTGTTACTCAACTTAAAGAATTAGATTTAAGTTGATTTTTAGCTCGACTATACAAAGTATATGGAGAGCTGTTCTACTCGCCCAGGCGTTGGCGTGCGCGTCCAGATTTCAGATTAAAGTTTTAGTGCAGTAAAATATTTTTCACTATAACTTTGTCATTTCTTAAGGTATCAACTTCAAACTTCAAATATATGTTCCTTATCAATAACCACATCTTATGTGACAAGGTCCATAACTCTAGAACCAATATTTTCAGATTTATCTCCCCTTGAACTTAGAATTTTCCTTAAAAAATACTATTTTTTACTGTTACTTCTGTATTACTTAAGGGATGAACTTGATACTTCAAATATATGTTCCTTATCATCAACCACATCTTGTGTGACAAGGTTCATAACTCTAGCGCCAATATTTTCAGATTTATCTCCACAGAACTTAGAATTTTCCTTAAAAAATACTATTTTTTACTGTTACTTCTTTAAAAATATCAACTTCATACTTCAAATATATGTACCTTATCATCATCCCCATCTTATGTGACAAGGTTCATATCTCTAGCACCAATATTTTTAAATTTATCTCCCCTTGAACTTAGAATTTTCCTTAAAAAATATTATTTTTTACTGTCACTTATTTATTTCTTAAGGGATCAACTTCATAATTCAAAAATATGTACCTTATCATTAACCACATGTTATGTGACAAGGTTCATAACTCTAGCACCAATATTGCAAGAATTATCTCCCCATAAACTTAGATTTTTTTTTACTAGAAAAATGATATTTTTTCACTATAACTTTTTTAGTTTTAAAGGTATCTACCTCAAACTTCAAATACTTATTCCTTTTCATCAATTACATTTTATGTTACAATGTTCATAACTCTTGAAGCAATATTTACAGATTTATCTCTCTTTGAACTTAGGATTTTCTTTAAAAAATATTATAACTTTACTTTTTAAGGTATCTACTTCAAACTTCAAATATATATTTCTTATCATTACACACATGTTGTGCGACAAGGTTAAATTCATAACTCTAGCGTGACTATTTCTAGAATTATTCCCCTTGATCTTGGAATTTATGTTAACAATGTTATTTTTATAACATAACTTAATACAGAATTATACATTATTGATTTTTTTTCATAGTTTTGTCTTCCTTACTGCATCCAGTATTTTATTAGTCGAGCTTCGCTGTCTCCTGTGACAGCTCTTGTTTTTATTGTAATTACTACTGAAGAGAATTATGAAAATTTCTTCCAAGGTCGAAAGCTATTTTAACTTGCTTCTAAGATTAAAGAAATGTATTTGTTGTGTTTTCAAGAACAGAAAGAATTACAAGCAGATACACGTCTAGAAACTTTATCCCTTCTTCAAAAGCTTGTTAAATGTGAAAAAAGTACTTCCATTAATGTATTGTAGTTTCAGTTTACCGTAAAATTCCTAATAAACGCCCCTCCCCTAATAAAGGCCCCCCCAGGCTTTTTGAAAGGGAAAACAATCTACTCATCAGTACTGAACTAATAATTTAAGCCATCATTTTATTCAAATAATTCAGAATCCATAGTATTTTATAGTAAACACAAATATGTATATGAACTTTAAAACCTTAACATTTTTTAATGTCATTACCAACACTTGCTAACACTAAAAGTATTAACAGTGATTTTTTTATTTAGGAAAAACTGTGTTGTAATAATAGCCCCCCTTTTGGAAAATGTTAAGCCCCCAGGGGCGTTTATTAGGAATTTTACGGTACATTACATTTCAAAATTTAAAATATCAGAAACACAAAGGAATGAAAGGTCATTATTTTCATACTTCATTTTTTTGACTTTTTTATAAAAAAAAGAAAAGAAAAAGAAATAACATAAATTTAAAGAAAAAGGAATAACATAAATTTAACATATTGTGGCTGAAGCTACAGGTTCCAGTCTTAAATTTTAAGTTTGAGTTTGAATGTATTGAAGGCTGTATGTGAAATGATTATGTAAGTGTGCATGCTTATGTGATGGTTTGAACAAAACAAGTCTTAGCTACAAATATGCAATGAATGCTCATGCTCTTATACGTGTAGTATGAAATGGGAAAATTATTTCAAAGTCTGAAGCTGCAGTGAAGGTCATTCTTTTATGTTCAGATATTTTTATATGGTTTATTTCATTATTTGACATTGAATAATTCTGTGACATTATTCCTGTATAATATTTCACCATTTTAAAATCATTCCCTGTCTCTAGATATGTCCTGGGTAAGTTTTGTTAAAGGTGAAAGGTCAAGGTCACAGTTTACAGTTAAAGGTCATCAAGAATCATGTCTGACTGATTTCACTGTTTTAAGTGCTTCAGTTGACTTAAGTAAGAGTTGGAAAATGATTTTAGGCTTTTGAACCTCAGTGTGAATCTCCTTTAGTAAAATATTTAATTGTCTACTATGTATAATACTACATGTATATTCATTTGTACAATTGTATACCTATATATTTCTATAATGTTACTATTTATTCCTATTGTGCAATAAGCACATGGAGGATTTTCAGGTTTTTTCTATTACTACAAGATTTATTTTATTGAGTAGTATGAAAATAAGTATTTTCATCGAGCTGTATGAAAATAAATATTTCATGACTGACGGATGCGTCTAATAAAGATAGCGTAATGCAAATACGCATTTTATTTCATCAATATATTTCAGTATTTCAATTATAAGTGTAAAATAAATTTGTATCTACCTTTTTAGTTGTATATTTCAATTAAGTACACTTTTATTTCAATATTTCAACTATTTACCGTATTTTTATTTCCAGATTCATGATGGTGCTGATATGTCTTATATTTAGTGTGTTGTCAACAATAGAACAGTATGGAGATTTTGCAAATGCAACACTCTTCTGGATGGTTAGTAAATTTACATTTCTGCTGTTCTATGGTTATAATAAAAAATCATGCTAATTATAGGGGTTAGACATATAGGAAGGTTACGATAGATCAGTTCTACAAAAAGACTGGTAAAAAAAAAAATTAGCTTTGCAAAAAAACAACAACAAAAAAAAAATATATAAAAAAATGGATTGAAATATTGCAAAAAAAAGACAATTTAAGTAACAGGAAAAAAATCTTATCTAACAAAATAGGTAGGGTTAGCAAAACAAACAAATTTACTGTTGACTTAATTTTGAGAAGTATTGGTATTTACAAACCTGAAAGTAATGGATGACTTGAGAGATTTAATTGTTCTATTAGAGTACTAACTCATGTCTGTAACACCTGATGTTCACACTTTTTATATTGGTCACAGTCAGATCACAATCAACTAAAAAAAGCTTCACGGAACTTCCCCAATGCCATAATTTGAAGCTTTTAGAACTTTCTTTTATTTAATTCTGTAAAAATGTGATTTCCCCTAAGATCAAAATTAATATTTATGGATGAAATTTCATAAAAAAAACCAAAAACCTTCAATATAAAATCTTTGATTAAAGGATGATTCTAAAAAAGGAAATTTTCACAAGAGCAAGTCTTTGATATATTGATTAAAGTCGGTAACAAAAGGGACCCCCATAAAAACATGAATTTTCCAAAAAAACAAGTTTTTAAAGATCCTGTAACACATTTTTTTCATGGTTTTATTTCATAAATATGACGCTCAAATTAAGATTTGTCAATCTTGTAAGTTCAAATAAGCATTATCTATAAAGATATTACCCAATTTAACATTTTGCGTAAATAAAGGGAGGTAATTAGAAATTTATTTTCTATAAATTCCAAGTCAAATTTTCCAATAAGAAATGAATGCATGTAACTTATTGATTAAATATAATGTGCACAAATATTTGCAGTACACATTTTACATATTCTTTGATGTTTGAAAATTGTTTTATTTGCATAATTATATACATATATAATATTTTGCAAGTGTGTGATACACATAGTAACAATATCAATCACAAAACATACAGGATCTTTAATATAATTATTTAATTCTGTACCTCAAGGGAAAATCTTTGATAAACAGATTGAATAGACTTACTCTGAAATATAGAATATTTTGGGGTAAAGGTAAATGTTTGTTTGTACCGGGAGATTAGCTTGGAAAAACTCACAAACGAGTTCCGAATTACATCTATTCAGATACCATAGGACAATGTTAATTGTCAATGTGACTTAAAACCCAACAAAAATCAAACATGGATTAAATTTTAAATAAAGGATGTTCTCCCAAAAGCAAGCTCAAATCTGATCAATTGATGACATTCTGTACTAAATTGAGAATAGATTACCTCAATACCAAGTCTTTGATATATGAATTAAATTCTTTAAAAAATGATAGATCCTAAGAGCAAGACTTTAGTCTTTGTTCAATTGATTAATTTCTGTAAAAAGGTAATTCCTCAAAGGCTAGTTTTTGAATTAGTGATCAAATTTTGTAACAAAAATGAATTCCTAATATTACCTGAACTCTTTCAGCCTACTTCTGACAATAATGAATTGTCTTTGTCACTAGAAATACAATTACACATTTGTTAACCAAAACTTCCATACAAAAGTTCATGATACACCAGAAATCTACCCGAGAGGTTATGGTTGTTTATGTCACACGTTCAAACAGCTTGCCCCTCATCATTGTGGGATTGTCAAATTCCACCAGGAACCTTGGATTCTTTCATATGAGGATATTTTTCAGCTAGCCACTGGAACTTACTCATGTGCCTTTTTTGTGACTGCAATTATGTACAGAAGAGCACCTGAGGTTCTCTTCCTCTAGTAAAGCTAGTAAAGTTGTAAATCGCCATATTGATCTCTACTGTGTTGGTGCCATGTAAAACCAAACAACCTCCCCCCCCCCCCCCAAAAAAAAACAAACAAACCAACAAGAAAACAACCAAAACACTGATTACCTTCTGTATGACATCATTTAAAGTATTTTAAGTAATTTATATACTGTCTCTTATTCAATTTTAATATCTTACATTGTAATCTTTAAAATAAACCTGATGAACAGGTCTGAATTCAAACCAAGGTCAGGTCCATTTACGAAAATCATCAGGTATAAAGATAACATTCTGTGGACTGATTTTTTCTTTCCTGAACAATTGTAATCAGGGTTTCCTCTACATTGTAGTTAGTCTGTCAGGAAATTGACAGTAAAGACAGCAAAGCCCACGCCACTTTATTACTCTCGCACGTTGTGCGGCTTTTACAGATATTATTTTGCATGCGGAGTAATGTAGTACACGCATTACGCTGATGACTGGAAAAACACTTCTGTCTGTCATAGCAGTGAATTAATCAGAAGAGAGGAAAATATCAAAATTGATAGGTTTTTGTGACAACTAGAAACTGATGTTTCAGATGTTTCGATGCAGCCTTTTAGCTCAGGTTTTACATATTCAATAATTGTTAATGTTTAGATTTGAAGGACAGCGTCATTATGAATTTAGACTTTCCTAGTAAATGGAAACATCTATTTATGGTTTGCAAAAGTGCAGAAGATATTTGATTTATGATCTGTATTCATTTCAAATTTGAAAATCCCTCTTGACGATTGAAAATAAAGTAATTTTGGGAATATTGTAAACTTCATTTAGATAGAGTCAAAACACAGTTTACTTCTTTTTACATCATATTCAATAATTGGACACAGATTACAGTTCTGACTATACAGCAATATCTAATTTCTGACAACAATTTATAAAATCAATGATCCTGAAGAAATAGAAATTTGATCAATGAGTTCATCGAATTAAGCACATTGGTAAATTTTTTTTTTTTTAAACTACATTTTAGCTCCACGCTGTGAACTAAAGTGAAGATATCTTACAGTACCCTTGTATTAGCACAGGTGTTCGTCCAGTCCTGGTGCCCATACAACCCCCACACCCACTTTCCTCCAAAAAAAGTAAATAAATAAAATAAAAATAAAAAAGCCTCAAAATAATCTTTCCGTGATAAATGAAAGAGAAAAAAAAATCATTTGTGGTAAAAGTATTTAGAAATTATTATTTTCAAAATTTATCACAGAAAAGTTATTTTATTTGGCTGGGCGCATGGGGGTGGGGGGGGGGTATGGGCACTAAGACTGGACGAGTACCTGTGGGTATGAGCATTAATATTAGTGTCTGCATCGGTGTACACATTGCTAGGGGTTTTGCACATTTTTTGGATAATTTCTGGGGATTATGTCAATTGTTAGGTACTAAAATTACAAGAGATGATGCGAATAAGAGTGAACCCCATTAGATCATTACCAACTTACACTCTGCATGATCGCTGATAGCAATAACAATTAACACTTACCAAGATAAATATTTTATATGGACTTCTCCATGCCATGTATCCATAAAACAATTCATTATTTTTAAGTAAAAATTCAAGATATTACTGAAGGAACAGCGACGATTACTGATGATGATTTAAGGTGGTATGGATTTATGGGCTGATCTTGGTCTGCACTGTTCGCATTGGTAGATTCTGTCAGTGGTGTAGCTACTATTAGGCCATGTAGGCCCGGGCCAACAAGTTGGTCAAAAAATTGACATTTTCAAAAGTCCCTAAAATACAATAAAAACAGGCGGTGGTGGGTTTGGTAGTGGGTTCAAGCGGTAAGGTTGAATCAAGTGTGTTTAAGGCTTTTGCATGATTTACCGTCCCCAGTAAAGTTTGCATCTAATCAAATTTCATAGTTTAAAATTTGTGTTTAGATAACGCATTTTGGTCTTTTTAATCTTAACTTTTGTTTGACCCTGTGGGTGCTAAGACCCCATGACCCACTTTTATGGGCCTACAAGTTGAAAAAAGCTGGCTGGGTATTCCCCTGTCTGTTACTGGTCTTATTTCAAAGTAGGCCATGTTCATTACACAAAGTGAAAATACTAGTCATAAAGTTAAAATCATTGTCAATAATTTTATACAAATTGACAAAAAATCTCAGAAACAGTAGAGAAAAAACAACAACAACATTATTATAAGTTTTAATTTAAAACTAATATTATGTCATCAGAATCCTAGTTCCATGTTGTTTTGTTTCAATAAAATTGATTTAGGTTTGTTGTTTTTAAGTATAAGAAAGTTTTCCTGTCACACAGCACGGCCAGGATTTAATCAGGATTTCTGTTTTCAAGCCAAAAAGCTTTAATATTTAATGTGAATTGATCTAAATAGAGAATATGTTGAGAGAAATTGTTGTGATAATTTCAAATTTACAAGTTCTTTTAAGGAGATTAGATGTTGTCTGACATATTGCCTGTCAAGGGAGTTACTTAATAAAAAGTTTCTTCAGTTTGACTTTTTTGACAGATGCTTCCGTGATGTTTGTTTCAAAATCGTATCAGTTTTAACAATCTTTCATTTTATAGTTTAAATTTAGCATAACGGTGTAAGGAATGCTATGATGGGTGTGAACACTGTCTATTCTTGTCTCCTCTTACTAAGTTCGGGATTTGTCCTTGTCCATCTGTCTGTCCTGTTGTTTGTAAACTGACAAAACAGCAAATGTGAGGGCTCCTGTGTTCTATGGACACTGAAAAGACCTTAAAATCTGACTTAATGCAACATGCTACCTGCACAGTCCATTTGAACCTATATGTGTATGATGTTAGTCTGAAAATTAATGTTACCGGTCTTCTGCCAAAGGTCCTATTAATGCCTACCATTATTTAGCTCAGACAAGATAAATGTTATGCCTAGGTCACAAATAAAACTGGCGCCGCCCGATTAAACGATTTTTATAAAATCGGCAGATTTTTTGATGTCGTGGACGCCGGGCGATTTTAAATCTGATACCTTGCGTGGTCATGAATGAAACAGTCGTCGGGCGATTTTTGCCGAGTAGATTTTACAGAAAGAATTGAACGGATCAGGCGGTCGCCGCCCGATGTCCGTACGGCGCCTGTGCGATTTAAAAGTGAATCGGACGGTTGCCGCGCGGGCGCCGGGCGACAATGACTTTACATTTAATGTCATCCTAGATAAATCAGCTAGTTGTAATTATGCCAGCAAAGAAGTCAGCTGCCAAAGCCAAGGGGAAGGCCAAGGAGTTGGTCCGTGTTGTTGACAACGACCAGTATCGAGGCCGTAGAAAGCAAAAATCAATCAGACATTCGCATGGACATTGAAGAAAAAATTCATGTTTACTAGTATTCAAAAGAAATTTACAAATATATTTTTGAGGCAATTTCAACTTCTTCAAGCTGAAATTACAACAAACAACAGCAGCCCGGTCGCCGGATGACAAAACGATGACCGCCCGGTGCCTGTACATGAATCGTCCGGGTACCGGGCGATAATTGTTTGACTTCTTGTCTCTATTCAGGCACCGGGCGGGGCCCGGCCGATGTCCGCTCAGACGCCTTTTAAATCGGACGCTGTTTTAGTAGAACAAAAAATCACGCGATCAAAAAAATCATCGCCCGGTCGCCACCCGGCGACCGAACGATGTCCGCTCGATGATATTTATACTCAGTGACCCCAAAAATTATCGTCCGGCCGCCGTTAGCTTTTAAGTATTACTTAAAACTCGAAGGCGCCCGCCCGATGAGCAAAATTTTCAGCTGCTGCAGTCCGATAGTCACTGCCGCCGGACGGACGCCGGCCGATATTGCGATTTTTTGGAGAAACAGACGCCGCCCGGCGGCATTTTCTTATTTGTGACCTAGGCTTTAGGTGTATTTATACCAATGAAAGATTTCGCATAATAATAATAAACTTGAATTAAGAAAGCATCAAAATGTACAAATAAATAAAATTCTACAAACTGGCATTAAAGATGGTTTTATCAAAATAGCTCTTGGTTTTACCCTTTAGAGACCCATAAGATCAGGAAACCAAAATTAAAGTGTAAGTCTTATTAAATGAGTCATTACTTAGTGTGCTTTCTTTTACTTTACTTTTACTAAACATAACTTTTTTATTCCTTTCTCTTCACTTTACTTTGTTTTACATAACTTGAATTTTACTTTACTTTCTTTATTACTTCACTTTACTTTCCAGTGAATGGATTACAACAGGAAAATGACGTCATACTTCATACATCATCTCACACATACACATTATTACTTTCACATTTTTTTTCTCTTTTCAGGAGATAGTTCTAGTTGTGTTCTTTGGTGTAGAATATGTAGTGAGATTATGGTCCGCTGGTTGCCGTAGTAAATACATAGGTGTACGAGGACGTTTTAGATTTGCACGGAAACCAATTTCTATTATAGGTAAGATTAAAATATTTTCAAAACATGGTTTTGACCCCTGGTGTTACTTAAAGTTTGTAACACAAGAGGTGAACCAAAAAAATCTTTCCTGTTTCGGCGCCATATGACCTCAATTGTGTTGGTGTGCCAAAACCAACCTCCCTTGAAGTCTCCATGGCTGACTTCTTGTCAATTACTCGATCTTCACTGTTTTGGGTTTGAGTCTTCCAGTGCAGGAAGAATCAATTGTCAGTATTGGCAAGGTTGTCCCACAACCTATATGGACAAATGATTTTATATCTCTAAAATTTACTAAATATAAATATCATAGGAACAAAGAAAATCAAAGCACAGAAGGCGCTGAATTTGTTTGGGTCTCAGAATGTAAGAAAGGTGCAGGTTGTGAGATTACATGTTTAGTGCCACCAATGCTTTCCAGCGTTTTAATTGTAGTAAATTGGCTATTAGACTAATTGCAACACTGATATTCAATCCAATGTTTATTTGACTTTAACAATTTAAAAAAATGAGTAACCTTTACTGGGATTTGAACTCCAGACCTCTCGCTTCCTAAGCGAGCCCGAAAACCCTTCAGCCACGGTGAATTTATATGTGAACGGCCTGAAGAAAACCATAATTTTATTATTCTAAATTAGGGCTTGTAACGACTTTAACTGTTGTTTAACACAGATGTAAATAATCCTGGAGCTTACTATAAGCATGTATATTTATAAAGAATCAAACGGCTGCAAGTTCTGTGGTATTTTCTGATCTTTGCAATCGTACTGTATATCTGTATGCATTTTCCTGTATAAGTTTATTTTTATGTATTATAATTTCTTTTGTAAGGCACCAGAGTTTGATACATCCGTAATTCTGCATAACTAGAGTTGCATCAAAAAATCATTTATGTCCTTTTTTACGACAGCCACACTTTATCTTTGTATATCATGGCTACTTCCTTAACAAAAACACTTAAAAAAAGAATTTAACAAAAAAAAAAAGTTTTCTCGACTTGGATACGAACTCGAGACCTCTCACTCACGAGGCGAGCGCGTTACCCTTGTACCACGGAAAAGTTATACACAGTGTGTCTGAATAATATCAAATCATTCTAAATTTGGAACTTCCATTGCAGTTCGGGTTTGTAATCCTTATTAATTTCGAGGTATTTTGTTTAGGCTAAACCTGTTGTTTATAATTGAAGTAGATATTTTAGCAAAAATCCTCTCGCCCAAACGGTCCGGCATGTAGAATCTATATATTCCACTACTCGGTTTGTGTAGTATTCGGTAATCAACATGGCTAAAAATAGTATTTTCATTGATAAAATCATATTCATCCGCGTAATTTGTGATTGTGCATTTATTGACAATTCTATAAGCCAACGCTATTGTTTAACTTTAAATGCGTTGTAATTTGTTGGATACTTGTAACAAAATAAAATATTTCTTTCTTTTAAATCGCTAGTTTTTAGCTGTTTTGAGAACTACTTGTTGTTAGGTTTGTAGTAAACTTCTGTGTCAGAGATTGAATGTCCGCTTTGTATTTAGTTATTTTCGATCAGAAAATACAATAAAACAATATTAGAAATCTTTGACCATTCGGGAATTACTTTGCTTGAAAATTGATGCGCCTGTCTTTGACCATCTTTACGCAGTGATCTCCCCTGAATTTTTCGGCTTTAGTGTACATACAAAAGGGAAGTAACCGCTCCAAAAAATTGGACTACTTTCGGCATTTGCAATTAGCAACATTAGACTCTGAAATTTCGCTACCATTATTTGTTTGGTCTGACGACCCAAACAAATAAAAACCATATAAAACTGACAAGTTGGTCAAAAGCAGATTTTGCTAGCCCTGCAGGAAGGAATTCTTAACCTATCCTCAGTACTTAGCATATCAAGGGTACCTATCCTCAGTACTTAGCATATCAACGGTTGGAGATTTTTCTACAAAGGTACTTCACTATGCCCAAAAGAGTACAAAGCCAATCTTAGGTTTCTTTCTCCATATTTTACAGAGCAACTTAAAGATAACATGTGACTTTAACCTATATCAATAAGGCTGAAAAAATCTAAACATCCTAAGATACTAAGACAAATGAGAACATTGTGTTGGCACTGGGAGATGAATGACATGTTTATGTTGGCTTCCGATTTATTCAATAAGACTCAGTGGTATAGCTTCCTATAGTTGATGTAGCCCATAAAAATGAAAATAAAAACTTAATATTTACTATAAAAGGTCATTTAAATGAGGAAAACGAGTTAGGTTGGGTTAATGAAACACTTTTCACAGTGCCCAAAGACCAGTATAAGCCCTCCGACCCAAAAACAAATACAAGAAAAACAAAAACATCACAAACGCATCCAAAAAAAGAAACAACAACAAGAGATCTATAAGGAATGTGAAACTTATTCTTGGAATTAATTCTGTTGTCTCATTCTTGTACTTTAAAGTAAATTAATATCTTTATTAAACATCCACAGGAATTCATTATTATGCCTGAAACAGTGTCTTAACCAGCCAGGGTTCAAAGCCCTCATATATTTTATATTTTCATATCAGTCGAGTAAAAAAAGAGAAAATACATTTATTTATTATGTTCGTAATATACTATTTAATCAGTGTGCAGACAGGTTCAAGATTGATAAATTTAGAAGATATTGGCAGTCAAGCCTGGAAATTGTTGTATAATTTGATCAGGGATGTGGTAATAGTTGTAGTAATGAGTTATTTCTGGGAAATCAGGGCAAAATTGTACAGCAATTCTCAATTCTCAGCCATTTAATTTCATGTTCTGATGTAAGAAATACAATAGAGTAGAATTGCAGCTTTTAAAATTTGAAACAAGATTTATTGATAGATATTGAATTGCTGAATAGAGGTCTTTTTTTTTTAGGTGAAGTTTCCCCGAAATGCTCAGTTCTCAGCATTGTTTTTAGAATCCATTGTACATGATTAATTGAACATTACAGTATTACAAATCTTAGTTCAGTCGTGACTTATATTTTTATTTTATTTAAGTGACATTATGCCAATCCAAGGGTATATAGTGAGTAATAAACAAGAGATAACATTTAGCCATAATTCCGTTCAATTTTGTAATTGACTTTGCATGAATGATAAATAATTCATTTGCGCATAATTTCCAAAAAAAAATACCTATAGTGTTCAGTTTATAACTTTTTTATCTTTTAGGCAGATTTATACTTTTATCGCAAACATTTTCCAGTATCAACTATTGATCAATCTCCGTTTTAAGTCAGTCTTTTATAATATATAGTCAATTCAGCTCAATGTGACAATGACAAAATGAGCATAATGTCACTTTACTTTATAATTGAGCTGCGTCATGACAAAACCAACATAGTGCGTAAGCGACCAGCATGGATCCAGACCAGCCTGCGCATCCGCGCAGTCTGATCAGGATCAATGCTGTTCGCTATCAGTTTCTCTACTTGTTAAAGGGTTGGTAAGCGAATAGCATGGATCCTGATCAGACTGCGCGGATGCAAAGGCTGGTCTGGATCCATGCTAGTTGCAAACCCAGTATGTTGGTTTTGTCATGGCATGGCTCATATACAAAAGAACAATTTCTGGTCATAAAAGCATCTATAAAGTGTTCACCTATTGAGATGTCTGTCTTGCATTGTTGATCTTCATACTGTTATTGTCAATATTTAGAATGCAATTGTCATATTAAAGCTGTTATTGTCCATTTTGACAATGTTATTTCAACAAAGACAGAAAGGTCAATATTCAGGCTGTCATTATCAATATGAAGTCTGTAAGTTTCAATATTTAGGCTGTAATTGTCAGCATTCATGTAATTGTGGTCAATAGGCTGTAATTGTCTGTTATCATGTAATTGTGGTCAATAGGCTGTTTTTGTCTGTATTCATGTCATTGTGGTCAACTAATATCAATATTCAGGTCTCTTTGGTCAATAGGCTGTAATTGTCAGCATTCAAGTCATAATGGTCAATAGGCTGCCATTGTCAGTATTCAGGTCATTGTGGTCACTAGGCTGTAATCATCAGTATTCAGGTCATTGTGATCAATAGACTGTAATCATCTATATTCAGGTCATTGTGGTCAATAGGCTGTAATAATCAGTATTCAGGTCATTGTGGTCAATAGGCTGTAATCATCAGTATTCAGGTCATTGTGGTCAATAGACTGTAATCATCTGTATTCAGGTCATTGTGGTCAATAGACTGTAATCATCAATATTCAGGTCATTGTGGTGAATGGACTGTAATCATCAATATTCAGGTCATTGTGGTCAATAGGCGGTAATCATCAATATTCAGGTTGTTGTGGTCAATAGGCGGTAATCATCAGTATTCAGGTTTTTGTGGTCAATAGGCTATAATTGTCTGTATTCAGGTCATTGTGGTCAATAGGCTGTAATCATCAGTATTCAAGCCTTTGTGGTCAATAGACTGTAATCATCAGTATTCAGGCTGTAATTTTCAAAAGATAGGCTTTTATTGTCCATGTTTTAGCATTTCCCATTTTAAGATTTTTAGATTGTTACTGATTACTGAGAGTGAAATATCTGGTGTTATTAATACATGTTGGGAGTAATTATTATTTGGTTACCAATGGAAAGTCTAATGTGCCTAAAATAATTAACAGTGTTGAAAGAAAATATTTATAAGGTTTATCTTAAAAGTTTCCTTATGTGTTCGCAAACTGTATCGTTTTGCTCACTAGTAGCTTTTCACTTGTATTCAAAATTATGGTTGTAGTTAATCGTCCCTGACTCATAAGCCTAGCGAAGATTTTTACTAAATTAAATCTCTTTATACAATTGACAAAATTCCTTGTTAAAAATTTTGCATGTAAATTTTTACTCCACCACTTATGCTGCTAATTTGAAACTTAAAACACACGTTGTCTGGATCATTAATTATAGGTCACTGGCCAAGACCCACAACTCCAGCAATAATTAACTGAATTATTCCCTCTTGATAACTTTAAAGTCAGAAAATTCCTGCAAAATTCCAGAT